AGGAAGGAAGGAAGGAAGGAAGGAAGGAAGGAAGGAAGGAAGGAAGGAAGGAAGGAAGGAAGGAAGGACGGACATATTTGGATTTTGGCTGCCATCTCCTGCATCATTTTACTCAGTAGAATTACTAGGTATTATTCAAGTGCTATTAAAAGTAAGAGAATGGTTTCATAATTTGTGGCTCTTTATGTATTCATAGATACAACCATATGACTTGGTTAAAGAGACCATTTTTCAGGCCTGGCTGCATCTCAGCAAAATAGATTCATGCCGAGTTGTAGAACAACTTAGCTTAGTGTATTACACCAGAGAGGCTAGTGTTCTTAGGTAGGAATACATTTTATAATGTGGTATATAATAGGCCAATATTTTAATCCATTATATATGTTTTATAGTATAAGAATGCTGGTGTTATTGAGCTGGAAGCTTGCGTGAAGGCGGTGAGAGTGCTTGCAATACAGAAAAGAAGCATGGAAGCTTCTGAATTCCTTCAAAATGCTGTTTATATTAACCTTCGTCAGGTGAGAATACTTTCCTTTCAGCTAAGAATTAATTTCTCCATCAGTCTTTGAACTATTTTTAAGAACAGAAGGGCCTTTATGATGACACCAAATGCCTGCCTAGTTCTACACCTTGTTTCACACAGTGAGGACCTTGATGCCTGTAAAAAGCCATTCCCTAAAGATAATATCTGAGTTTTCAGAAATAGTATTAAACCATATTCTCTATTTATATGTCCATTCTGTTTTGTTGTTTTGCATACAGAGTAAGTTATTCTTCAAACATAAATGCTTGAATCTAGAAAGCAGTTGTTTCTTAAAGATTGAAAGTATTGACATTTCAGATATATTCATCGTATATGATTTCTCATAAACCTTTCACATTTCAGTTATCTCACCCTTAGATATTGAAAAAAAGATTGTCTTTTATTTTTACCACCACAGAATGTATATTATAAAATGCATATACATTATAAAACATTTTTAGAACAAGTAATGTGCATATTACTCATTTTGAATACACTAGATTACCAAAGTGATTATCACCCACTTTTTGAAAAGCTGTTGGGTGTGGAACTGCCTTTAGCTCCATATTGATACGTGTGCTACCTTTATTCTTATTCTTACATATCCTTGAGTGCTTCCCTAGTTCAGACATAATAGGGAGCTCTGGCTTGGTATAATTGTAGTGAATGGGCAGAGGCGACCAACCGCACTCAGCCCAGTCCGCCTGCCAGTCCTTCTGGCCAAGCACCAAGCTGCAGCCTGCATATATCCCGGGATACATTTTTTGGCAGGAGGATGCTTACCTGAACATGTCTGCCAAAGGCTGTCCAGCCCTCTCCTTTTCTGTTAGAAAGCAAAATAACATTTCTTTTTGAAACAAAAGAATTTGCTAGAGAAGAGGCTGGAACAGGTGAATGTTAAAAACTCCCCTCAGCCTGGTTTAAGCTGGAATTTCTAGAAAAGCAAAAAGCAAAGCCAGGTACAATTAGATCAGAAAGGAATTTCTCATTCAAGAAATTAATACTTAGGCAGACGTAGAGAAATGTCTAGTTAGCATTGTGCTGAGTCTGTTCTTTATCTTCTGTGTGCGAGTTAAGTTCTATATTACTTCTGATTTTACCTTCCCAGTACAAGCTCAATTATTGTACGAGTGATGTGTCGTGGGATTTCTGTGTAGCAGAATCCTCTTTATTATTAGCAAGTCTGTTCCACTGTGTGATCTTCCCCATGCTTATATTCCCCTTTATCTTCTCTGGGGGGAGATCTTTTTTGAATTGCTTTTGTGTTTTTGGCAGTCTTGATTACATCAGTGCTAATATAGCCTAATTGCCTTTTTCAGTTATAATACAGACGAGCAACAAACTATATTTTTTTTGGCACTTAGCTTGGTGCTCACCAAGTTCCTTGTCCCACTTAACATTTTTGTAAAGATTATTTTAATTTTTTTAAAAATTGGAAGGAAGCTGGCCTGCTGCAAACATCAGTAATTATACTTCCTTTGTGTATGTTCAGCTTTGTTGATAACGTACTACTGTTTTGTTTTATAAAAAAAAAACCCTTTCATTAGAATCTTTTGGTATACAGTACTTGAACAAAATTTGTAGCAGTCTTTGTGTTCATATCTTACATTTTACACTAGGGGTCAGCAGTGTTGCATCATAAGAATGATTAATGCTCTGATTTGGAATACTACCCGTAGAAAATACTGTTTAATAGACTGTTAAGTTATCCAAATATACCGCTTTGCTTTTTTGGGCTTACTCTCTTTTGCAGAGTTATTTTTGTCTTTAACTGGAATAGTTAAATGACAAAAATAGAAACATAGAATCATGGACTCCAACCTTCTGCTCAGTGCAGGAATTCAAATTAAAGCGCCCTGGGCAGATGGCAGTCCAGTCTGCTTGAATGGAGTGAGTGAAGGGGAACCTGCTGGGATCTGATGCACCCAACCTCTGGTTAAACAACCCAGTGGGGTTTCGATACAATAAGGATGCTGCTAGGTTTGTTACAACTGAAATTAAATCCGTCTTTGGGGACTTGTAATATTTTGATACCCAGCAAGACTTCTTGTTACTCACTGAACTCCATTTTCAGGGAATTTCTGATTGGGGTAACTTTCCGTTGTACCTTAGTCATGAGATGGCTTTCACTCTTTGATCTAACTCAGGCACATTTTGCTTCCATCTCACAGCGGATTTGTTTGTCACTTCATAGTGGGCAACGTGGATATTTCAGTGCTCAACAGAACATATTTCTCTGTATTCAAAGAGCTGGCTGGTTTTCTAAAGTAGGATATACTTTTGACCATACAACGTTTTTGTATTAAGAAAATGGGAGGAGAAGGAGGAGGAGGAGGAAGATTTATGGTAGTTTGTTTTCCTACAGATTTAAAAGCTTACATATCATCACTTATTCAGCAGATAGTTCTTGCTTACAGTAATTTGTTTGGTGAGTAGAGAGGTCTTGCTGTGTATCAAAATATTACAAGTTTCCAAAAGACTGATTTAATTTCAATTGTAACAAACCTAACAGCATCCTTTCCTATGCTAATTACAGTTATTTTTATATAATTGTTTCTCAACTGCTTATATATCAGATGTTCAGAATCCAGCAGGAAAAAAAATCTGTTTTTCTTTTAGCCATCTAACCAAGTTACGTTGAGTTTAGCAGAGTTGCTCTCGCAGTATTTTGTATTATTTCAGATAAATGTTTTTCACTTTTATTTTTCTGCCACTGCAGTCACACATCTCTAGGCAGTTTACAAATCAAAATTTAAAAATAATGAAAATTATAAGCATTGCAATAACTCTCCAGAAAATGTTAAAATAGCCCCCTGCTGATTGGATGCAAAGTGGAATGCAGATGTTAAGTCTCCAAAGACCTGTGTGAAAAGCCATGTTTTAATTGCTTTCTAAAAGGTAATCAAAGTAGGGGCTAGTCCAGCGTCCAACAGGAGAATCATATTTCAGAGAGTCAGAGCAGAATAGAGAAGCATTGCTTCGCGCAATGTCCTTATAACATGCTTTGTTCAGTACAGGTGGTTTAAGATGATTTATTATTGCAGCTACTTCCACTTTGGAAGAGGCAAACTGTTCTTTGCTTTAGGATACAGTGAGAAAATACCTAAAGTAAAAATGTCTGTCCAGCATTCCTACATCCCTTCTTTACGTTAAATGTTTGCTGAATGAAATTTTATTTCCTTTTTCCTTTTTCCTTATAGACATATGCTTTCAAGGGTTACTTTTCTTGCCTTTTTTGCACTTATGCTTATGGCAATTTCGTTTATTAAAACTCTTTTAAAATAAATGAT